TTAAAAATTCTGTATTTGATAATTAAATTAAACATATATTTTTAATAGATGTATATACGATTTGTAATCATGTTTTACAATAAATGTTTTATATTTTTTAAAAACTTTTTATAGTATTTTATGAAAGAATTAATTAACTAATATTTTTAATAAATTGATAATAAAATGATAATTATATTAAAAAATTTATTAACTATTCATATAATTTTTAAATAATTACATTATTTTAAACTGATATTTTAATGCACGAACAATTTTAAAAGTTCTCAGCTATTACAATTTTTATCCTTATTTTTGTTTTAATGTGAATGAAATTATAATTTCTTCATTTATTTACTAAACCTGGCGTTATATATACTTACTGTTTAACTAATAAGATAATGGTATAATACTAAACAATACGAAATAATATTTTTTAAATATAATTTGCAGTATATAGTATAAGATTTGTACTGTACTATATAAAACTTAAGTGACTTACGAAAGAAAATATTACTTCGGGATCTCATTCAAATGAATTATATACACATTTTATGAATAAAAATTCAATATTATTATTTATATAATAAATTCTATATGCATTAACTGTTTTCTTAAAAATTATAAGAGTTTTAAAGTAAAAATCAATATTACCTTGATTGAAAGCTTCTTTAAAAAATTTGTAGTTTTACTTCTTAAAATTAATTTAGAAATGTGATATATGAATCATATATTTCAAATGTCAAGTTTCTTTTTTTAAATCCATTGCAAAAGAAAATGGCATTTTCGCATTCTTTATACAATATACTCAACACACTATATAAGAACTAAATTCAATAAACCAATCATCATGTGAAATTAAATAAGCAAAATTGATGTAGGTAATATAGTATTTGTATTTAAAAAAATATTTTATTGTAGGTGTTATTAAATTATTGTAATAACAAATAATCGATCTTGTTAAATAGCATTTCAATATATTAGTGCAGCAAAAAAATAAATATTTATAAAAATATGCAAACTTGTGAATAGTTTAATAATAAAAATTTTCAATAAAAATAATATACGATATTAAGTGAATAACTGCCTTTATATAATTAACATTTTACTGAAATTTGATGATACTGTTTATAAATTAGTAGTGTATTTTATAATTCTACGTTCACAAATTCATGCAGGAGAGTTTTACAATATTTTATTAATAAAAAAAAAGGCTTAATATATAAAATGTATTAATATTTTATTTAATCTGACAGAAAGTCTACAAACTTTTTAAGACGAATAATATAATATTTTTCGATTGTTCAAAAATTGATAAAAATATAAAATTTTTATTAAAAAACAATTAAACTACAAATAATTCATCCATATAAGTATAAGTGTTTATATTTAATATACACTTCATTAATAATAAATATAAATATTTTAATAGCTTTTCTAAAAATTTCATCCATTCATTATAATAATAAAATGGAGTTTGTTGTTTAAATAAACTTTTAATCTGTAATTAATCCTAAAATTAATAAGTTCGCAATGACTTTCACATTCAATGGTTTCTCATAGTATTTAATTTTTGAAGTTAACAATACTTTCATTGAATTAACATTATTGAATTAACAATATAAATAAGGATAAGTGAACAGATACATCAATCAATTTCAAAGAATAATCATATTTATTATGATACCAAAAATTCTAAAAATTAGTATTTTGAAAAACATAAATTTCAAACAAGTGAATATTTTATATATTTTAATAATAGATTTTGCTTTAAATATTTGAATTTCCAACTAAACCTTTCAACATGATTGAAATATATACCCAAGCTACTAGCCGTTTTGTAGTAACCAGAGTCACTAACATATATCAACAAGTAATTTAAAAAAATAATATTAATACATTGACGTATAATAAAATTTATATACTATGTAAAAAATGTTTATTTTTTTTTTTTAATATAAAAATATTCACACTAAAACACATATTATAATTTATATTTACGTATGTTTATTTTTTATAAAATTATATAATATAATTATATATCATAAAATAATTTGTTTTAGATTAAATATAATAAACTCGTCTTAATAAAAAAATCGTAAAAGAATGTTTTTCTATATATTCAAGTCATAGCTTTTATGCAATTATGACAAATTTGATATTGTCAAAAATGTAACATTTTTCATCTAACTGAATTACTAAAACATGTGAAAAAAATCTTGCAAACTTTTACAACTTTTATCTAATTTTTTGATTTTTAAAATCGATCAAATTTTTTTTTTATGATTTATAAGATTGTTTTTTACTCTTGGCTTCAGCTGAAACTCCATTTAACATCTTTAAATCTTTGCTATGGAAGTTTTTATAACTTATCAATAATTTCAAAAATATAGTCTATATATTTTTTACAATACTATTGTATATATATTTTAACATATAATTTATATTTATAAATTTTTGTATTTTATAAAAAAGTAAAAAAAGATTAAGTAATATTTCTTTATATAAATTAATCGCTATAATAAAATACATTATTTGTAAGTTATAAAATCTTCTCGAAAATTGCACTGAGTAAATAATTTAGTTTAAAAAATTTTCATGTATATATTATAACAATATTTAATATGAGAGAGAAAGATGTGAACATAGTAATAATAATAATAATAACTGATAGAATGGAAGAATAATTTAAAATTGATTTCTCTAAAAGGTCATTGCGTTAGAGTAATCATGAAATAAATATTATTTATTGTTTTGGTTTAATTATTAGGTTAATTAAACAAAAAGCTAATATTTTTCAAATTATTTTATTAATAATTGGCCATAAGCAGTTAAATGGACAATAAGTATTTTTAACAATTACCTTATGTTATTGCAATATATTTACTTTCATAATTATTATCTACATACATAATAGACTGAATTTAAATGATATTTAAAACAAATCAGGATTATAAATATAATTAGCATTATTAACATTTAATTAATTGTTAATGGTTAAATCAAATGTAAATAAAAATGCATTTTTCTTTGATAATTGACACGATTTGAAGCCAAATCATTCAAAACAAATACAAAATTTTAACAGAAATTATCTCGTATTTGATAGGTAGTTTTAGAAAAATATTAATTTGAGATCAGAAAGGATCACTAAGCATTGAAAATTCCTTATTGGTGTCAAAATCATGAAAATGTACTAGTAAATGATTAAATATGGATAAAATATCAAATTGAATGATAAAGCATAATTAAATGATGTTCGTTGTAATCCTTAATTATTTTTCAAACAAATTTATTTTAACTTATATAATGGTTTAAAATAAAAGTGATACATCTATATATGCAATGAATTGTTACAGTTAATGCTTTTTATTAATTTATTATTTTTAACAAATTTCAAAGTTCTGAAAATATTGTCCATTAATGTATAATATCTATCATGTAATTTATCATTATTAGATATTTCTTGTATATCAGGTAATTGTTTACTGACTTTCACTATAATTAGTAGTTTTAATGCCCTTTTTCAGTGAATTTACATATATTAATGCAGTAAACCTTTTAACCAGGATATTTATTTTTTTTTTTTTTTTATACAAAGATATATAAAAGGAAAAATATCAAGTAGTTATACTTGCGAATCTACCCATTGTATTGCTTAAAATATTTAGTATTTTATTCGTTTGATTAGAGACTGAATAGACCGAAACATTGCAATTTAAATATCATTTATAATTGAATTTAGCAGTAAATATCTTGGAAAAATAACTGTATAATTAATGAATGATTTTCTTAATTTTTAATTAAATAATTCTAAAAATTAAATAATTTTTGTAATGGAACTATTTTTTAAAATGATTTTTACAATTTATTAGAAATATGCATTGACTTCGAAATTGAATCATATTCTTTAGATATCATATATATCGTTAGTTAACATATACTTATTGAATACATTAAACATATTTTAAAATAAGAACTGCCCATGACCTTTTTCAATTTTTTTTCAAATATTTTCAATTTCTAGATGTTGAGATATTTTATGAAAATTTAAATTAAAATCAATCGATTGTATTAATTTATTACGACACACGCACACGCGCACACACATAATACACACACACACACACACGCACGCACGCACGCACGCACGCACGCACGCACACAAACACACACACAAACACACAAACACACACATTAATTATATACAATTTTAAACATTTACTTGGATATTCATATCAAATAGTGGATTGAAAATATTTTATTTTGACACTGAATTTTTATGTTTTTAACACTTTTTGATTTAATATTTGTATATATATTGTGTTTTTATATTAGAAACTTTGTCAGTGCAATTTTCCAACTAATAATTTAATTTATATCCATGGTTTTATTTCCAGTATAATAATTCACGTATTTAGTGCCATCTTTAATATTTCATTATTGTTAAATATTTGATAAAGGGATAGTGAAATATAAGGACATACTTATTTTCGTAAATGAATGTTTCATATTACAATCATTTCTAGATGCAATGTATATTTATAGATATACATAAAACGTATTCTGCTGACACATGGAAAAAAGTACTATCATATGCTTAGCGAGCTGTAAACAATATTTTGATTTCGTACAATTACACAAAAAGTCATATATACAATACAATACGTAACACTAATCGTAATTTTTAACTTTGCATTATTTTCGACTCGTATTTTGAATATACACATTCTTCTCTGTACTCAGCTTTAACTCCAACAGCAGTAAATACCACAAATTTTCTCTCATAAGTATTTAAAATGGAACTATTTAATTCGCCCAAACAGAAAAAAAAAAGAATACAGATTTAGAGGCAACGGCTGTGATTAGTAAATCATAAATCATAGATAGGTAGGATCCTATTAACAGTCGAAGAATACCAGATGTTTAAGTAGATCTGGCCTATATCAGCTCGTCTAATATGTAGATAAAGTATGGGCACGGTTCGCGGGGTGCGAGAAGGGGATATCGTCATCATCATCATCATCATCATCAACAACAGCAGCAGCAACTTGAAGGCGTACGAACGGAAGAGGGTGCGAAGGCGCCGCGCGATCGGTCATGTCGCGCGAGCGCCACGGGATCAACAAACCGTGACGATTGACAGCTTAGTCGTCTCCTTTGGCGCCGTCGAGTAGGCGTCGATCGATTTCCTCGATTGTCAAATGCGCAGAGGGTCATTGGGTCCATGGTTCGGCTTGTGTCGCGCCGCGCAGAAGCTCAGCCCAAAGCACAACATGAGCAGTACCACCGCACCGACTAACAGGTAACTCGACCACGATATCGAACATCTACCTGCGAGCAAACAGCAAGGAATTCTCTATTTAGCGGGGAAATATGTATGAAATAGCCGATAGTGAAGTGGTGAGCTTTCACCAACTGCATTCATTTTGATATCTTGGTAATTAAATGGCATATTACGTAATTAAAAATTGGCTTATTCATGGTAAATGGATGATTTATTTTCATTAGGTATGTAATGGTGACAAAATTTTAAATATAAAATCTTAAACTTTATGCATGCGAAACATAATTCTTCACAAAATTTTAATGCAAAAGAAATTCATTCAAACTATTTTGAAATAGTTTACTCGCGTAAATGGCTACGATACAATGTAATATAATGTGGAAACTGGAAATTATTATAATTTAGAATTATATTATTGTGGTTTGCTAATTTTATACGTAAATCATGAGTTTAATAATTAAAAAATTAATTTAGTATCAAAATAGGATAAATTTAGTAGTATAAAAAATTTAAAAAAAATTTATATTCATATGAAAATAACAAGACGGTAGTAATATTATTATTATTATTATTATTATTATTATTATTATTGTTGTTGTTATTATTATTCTATACAAATAAACTTGTAATAGTGGTAGTGTTGTTATATAAGTAATATTGGTAGTTGTTGTTTTATTATCATAGCAATATATGCAATAGTTTTAGTATACTAAATCACAATATAATACTGACAATTATATATTCGTATGGTAAAATTACTTTTCGTAGATATAACTAAGAATACGCATATACAACATACTTAGCAGTGCAAATTGCTTCATTATTTCCGCTATCAAAACCGTGTAAATAATTCTCTGAGAGTAAAAATTAATTAAAAAAATTATTATTTTACTATATAACTTAATCATTTCCTAATTCATATTATACATTATTATGTACTCGTGCTTATTGCAGGCTACATCTGTTGTTTTATTACAATTGTAATTATACTGCTAATAAATACAATTACACAAATAAACATACTTTTACCTGGTATACAAATTAAAATTTGCCCTGAAATCCATAACTTTAAATATAGAATTTAGAAAATAATCTGTGACTTTATTTATTTTGTGAATTAATATTTTCAGTTTTTATGGTATTTTATATAAATTTTAGCAGGGCATTGAATTTACAAAATGTTTCCTCTTGTCGTTTTATTTATATTTTTAATTTGACATTTATTTTTAGTTTCCGGTGTTATTTATTATTTTAGACTTGTATTTTGAGATTTACTGACTCACATTACTTATAATTTTATACATGTACATCGTAAAGCTTATACCAATAGATCAATTAGTGACAATAATGAAATATTCCATTTTCTCAAAAAATTTTAATTTATGTTTTACTTTTAAAATATTGTATGGAATAAGTAATAAAATTCATTATTTGAAAAGAGCTTATCCTGTTTTTACTTTATATTATTCTGTCAATATAAGCAAGATGGATATAAAGAGAAAATATTCAATTTTTTTCTTTCATTTTATTTTCTCAATATTTCTTGAGGGCTTATAACATAATACATGATGGATGAAAATATTTCCAGATCAAGTTTAATGAAATTATTAAATCCTCAAAAATATTCAATGTTTGTTTTAGTTTTATGAGTTTTACCGATTTCTTGAGTCACTTAAGTGCTTCATTGTATAAAAATAAATAATTAGAATCTGTCCTTATAATTGTTTAGTCGTTATTCACTATATTATTATTATTATTATTATTTTTTTCACTAATTATTATATTCTACAATTTATTTGTATTTTTTTTTAAATTATCTCCTCGAACACAAACTACTAAAATATTTGAAGTATATGTATACTTAGTTTGTGCAGTTTTATCTGTTTCAGGCTATATTTGGCTATATATTTAATTTATAAACACTTAATATTATTCAATGAAATAATTATGTTCATTTTAATTTTCTTATATTAAATGAATTACTATAATTAAATAAGATTATGTAAAATTATGCTAATCATTTGTATGTAATATTTATAAAAATTATGAGTCTTGCACATTTATTTAGTTTGTGCTATACTCAATGTGGAAATTAATGGAAAAAATAAAATTATCCCACATATAAAATACATATTATAATTCTGTATAAATGTTATCACTAAATTTATAAGACAATAAGACAATATATATTCATCAGCAATAATGTTATATCAATAATTCACATACCTTAGGTTGATAATATAATTTACTAAATTTCATGTTTTCATTTTCTTAATTTATAATATTTATGCAATAATAGGAAATAAAATTTATATATACTTCTTTATGGGAATAATTCACATTTATTTTCAATAAATATTTTCATAAGAAAGACAAGCATTATAATAATGTCATTATTATCTCATTTCAAACGTTTAATGCAACAACTAAATGAAAGCAGTTTTCCTCATTATCGTAAAAAGAACTTTCTAAAATCAGATTTTGCAGTGATAACCATAAGTTTTATCGTATTTTTATTTTTGTTATTCTATAAATTTAGTTTTAAAGTTTTTCCTTTGTGCAATAAATTTTAAATACTTATATAATACATGAAAATTAGTAAAGCTGATTTTTTATTATTATTATTTAAAAAATTCAGTTTTAAAATAAGATATACATATATACACATATATGTAATTGAATGAAATAAGAATTTTAATATAAACATGAATTCGAAGTTTTATATTGAGGATCAATCAGTCTATTAATTGTATATAATAGTTATTATTATCGTTAATATTTCTACATTATTTTTGTATTAATATAAATATACTAGATATTATTTCCCAAATTGAAGAAGAATTTAATGAAGCAAACAAATATTTATAAATAAAACATTTTGCTTCGCTTATAGGAATAGCGGAGTTCATTTAATCTAAAGATTTTTTCTCAATTATAGGAACAGTGTATTTAATTTAGTTGTAAGAAAAATTCATGTTTACTTAAAAAGCCAAAAATATAGATATAATACTGTTAATGTCTAATATAGAACGTTGTAATGACTATGTATCTTAACCTTTTTTTTTTGACTTCACTTTTGTGCTTTTTTAAATTAGCAATAGTAATTGGACAGATTTTTTAACCCTTAAAATACGTTTATTTAAGTTTGAGAGTTGTTTCTGTAATTCTTTTCAACTAAACTTTTAACATATAATAATATTTTTTGTATTTAACATATTAACATAAATTAGTGTATTTCTGATATTGAACTGTACAATTTTTTTAAGTATTGATAAAATTACATTCTACTTTAGACAATAGTCAAGCGAAAAAATTTATCTAATTTTTTTACAAAGTAATCGTTAAAATAAATATATTTTAAATACATTTAACTATAAATAATATAAATATAATAGAGTTTAATTTCTGTTCAGACTTCGTTTTATTACTTGCATGAGAAATACATCACTTGCATTTTAGTACAAATCGATTTGAGAAACTTGACGATTTATTATTTGTCACATATATAATGAACTTTTATTGACTTATTTTAATAAATATAAATCTTTTAGTTTATATTGTGGTAACTATTAAGCTCCGTATAATAGAAGGATATGGATGGACTTCATGAATTTTAAAATATTAGATGATATATATTTTCATGACATTTTATAACCATGTAACTTCTTGTATTTTTTATTTATATTACACAGCACACTATTATAATTACTCTTTTATTTTATATTGTATTATTTGAAAATGCATAGTTTATGTACTTATAAAATTATGACTAATATTTTTAATTATTGATATTATGATTATTTTTTTATTACAACTACAACGTTAGCGCATTTGTTAGCATTTATTTTATCCCTTTATATTATTAATGATTATTTTTTACTGCAAATTACGTGTTAACTTGAATTAATTTAATTTCTAAAATTCGAATCATAATTTTTACGTTATCTTTTATTTAAGATTATCAATATAAATAAAAAAATTGCTTTATATTTAAAACAAATTATATTATGGTATTTCTCATACATTTAGTAAAGAAGTATAAAATTATATACAAGAATATTTCTTGTTACCATCATTGATATTATCTTTATATAATTTGATACTATAATAGGATATTCTTGTATTAATTCAATTTAACTAACAGAATATTTAATTTCCTTCTAAACTTTTTGTAGATTATTGTAATTTACAAGATGTTGTTTGTATTTTATTCTGTATAAATTTCAAAGTGAAAAATTGTTCGTTTTATTGTTTGACATTGTTACTACTTATAAATTATCAATTCTATTTCTATTTATAAATTAATTTTTGATCGTCTTTGTCATTATTACTATTATTGTTAATTTTTTAGCTTAATTATTTCAATTATTTCTTTAATACGTTTGTACATTTCTACAATTTTTTTTTTATTTTCGTTTATCCTTGTATACTAGATTTATATATTTAAAAGATAATAAATATTTAAAATAATAATTTCATCTATTAGATAATATTAGTTAAAATTATTCAATTATGATAAACTTAAATGTTTTTCATACTTTCAAAATTATTTTAAAAATACTTAAATTTATTATATAATTGATGGAATAGTCATAATATTCTAATTTTACCAGTTATACAATTGGAATAAAATTTTATATAAAAAGTAAATTAAAAGGAAATTTAATTAGTTATATGGCATCTATTAATGAAAACTATTAACTATACACATAACCGCTTATTTAAACTGGATAAAGACTTACTTGAAATAATGCTAATGTATGCAATTTCCAAAAATTTTATTTTTTCGAATATTTTTAATTAATTTTACATTCAAAGTATTAACCTTTTCAGTATCTTTTTAAGTTATATAAGTTTTGTAGATAAGAAATATTAACAAACTGACATCCTATATGTAGAAGTTAATATTCTAATTCTGTATACTTGAAATATAATTGAGAAAAGGAAGAAACTTTAAATTGGGCTTTTGAAGTATTAAAACCGATAATATGTGTTTGGCTTTCTTCTTAACATTTTATTTTAACTAACTTTATGTAATTAAGTAAATGTATATAAAGGTTACAAATAAAGAAATAAATAAATAAATATATATACATATGATATTTCTTTAAAAATATTACAGATATAGTTTTTAAATTGAATTTTTTACAAGTTCTGAGTTATTTATTAATTTTCTTATTTATTTATCATAACTTCAAATAATATCATATATAAGAAATTAAATTTATAATAATATTATTAATGGCTAAATCTACAAATGTTTTAGATAACTTATAACGTTTTCTTTTATAAGTATACCAAAAATTCATAAATAAAACTTATAAAAAGTGTTATTTCAGAAAGATTCGTAACTCACCAAGATTGTAGACATTTGCACCCTTTCCGCAGGACTCTCGCACTTCACGATTGTCCCAACCGATAGGATACATTATCAAACCCCCGCAGATCATCGTCGCTATACAGAAAAAGATTATTACGTATATTAAACAATGCAAGAAATAGAAATGCATTTACATAAAGCTGCAAAAGTGTTTGCAGGTTGGCTGCATGTAAAACCCTGATAGAGCTCGTAATTGTTCATAATGGTGCTCTTGAGAATAAATGCGCTTTACTCGCGCATAGTCGAATTACTTTATTCAGAGAATAAAGCTACGAGAAAATTTCAAGACGCGACCATTCAAATTTTCAAAACATTTCTGGATTGTGGTATAAAAGAAGATTATTCGCATATTGGTTTAATAAAACTCATTTAACTTATTACAATATTCAGGTTTCTAAATTCAAAAAAAGAATGATCTCCACATTCCAAATGTAATTAAAATTATCGAAATGTAAGATGCACATTGAAATACAAATATACGTCCGCTCTATGTATTTAAAGGTGAAGCGTTAACTCACTTTGTCGTGTTCTGAAAGTACTTATGATACGAAATTTTGAAGAATATTTATAAATTACCTAATAGTGTTCTGAAGGTTCACTATGATGAAATGTTAATATGATGAAATGCAAATCAGAAGTACCAACTGTAGATTGATCAATGAAATCTTAATATATTATACTTCAATTTTGATTAAATAATAAAAGGTTTATTCTATATTTCTTTGTGAATGATAGATAATTATTAATTATTCTTATTTCAGATAGTAATGAAGTGGGACAACACGATTTAAAAAAATATGAATAATAAATCCATGGTATTTATATTTTTTATTGTATAATAAATAATATTTAGCAATGGATTACATAAAAAAAAAATAATGAGAAGCTATTAATTATTCCATCCGAGTGCAGTTTCATAAAAATTTGAGGATTATAATTTTTAAATATTAAAATACTATAGAACAATAAGATAATTTTAAGAAAATAAATCAATATATATTAACTAAATATATTGACTATATATAAATAGAATCTTCTGTTAAAATATACACATAATAATAAGTTATTAATCTCAAAATATTGAGGCAATTTGTACAAGGTGATTTACACTCGAACAAAAAGTAAACAGTGGATGAAAAGGAGTTAGAAAACTAGAAGTGGCATGCATAGGCATATATATATATATATATATGTGTGTGTGTGTACAGGGATAAAAGAAATAAAATATTCCTAAATGCATAATGAAATAGATTAATAGATAGGTATATAGATAGATAGATGGAGAGAGAGAGAGAGAGAGAAAGAGAGAGAGAGAGAGAGAGAGAGAGAGAGAGAGAGAGAAATCAATATTCATTGAAAGATAAGTTAACAAAAAAATGTGACTAAAATCAAAGAAGTAAGGTAATACAAATCTAAAAAAAAATTTCACAAATTATAACAGTAATGGCTGTTAGAAGTAATTTCAATAAATTTCATGGTTAAATAAATTAAAAGTTCAGCATAAATAAAAGTAAAAATTGAACATCATCAATAATATAGATATTAAAAGTAGAAAATATAGTAATTATAATATTTTATACAGACAAGTAAAGAAAATAAAAATAGGAATTACTAATAAAATTCGTAATAATTTGTTTATGTATAGTATATTAATATAAATGCAAAGAGAATCTTGTTAATAAAATGAAAAGTGAAAAATAAAATTGTTTATTTTAAAAATTGGTATAATACAATATATGACAGTTCTAAATTTACTCTAATGACACACAAAATATTATGAAAAATCAAGTATGATAAACAGATCGAAGGTGTATAAAAATATGAAATAGTAACGAAGTAACAAAAAAGAGATAGGGTATATAGTCAAGGACATAAATTAAAGGATATATACAGTAGTTTTATTAAAAAAAATGTATATATTATATCATAGACTAAGAAACAAAGGAAAAGTAAATTGTATAATAATAAAAAATCAACCACATTACATTTATTGTTATAATAAAAAGGCAGATAAAAATACTATATGTACTGGAGTATTTGAATAATGATGAAATGGTCTTAAAAAAGTATAGTAACATAATCAATGATGTACTTATTAAAACATTTGCACATAATTATTAATAATAATAATTTTTATTATCATCAATTTAAAATAATAGTTTTAAAAACGTTCAAATACACATGAAATTATAAATAAATAGACTATAAAAATAAAATGTAATTGTATGTATGAGTATTAAATAATTCTAGAAAAATAAATAAATAATATATTAATTTTAAGTACATCATCAATTATAATGATATTGTACAAATGAATGAAAAAAAAATGGTAAAACTAAGAATAACAAAATACAGGTAAACAAATAAATTATGATACCATTTGGTACAAATGAATATTAAATGAGGAAAGAAATACACGTATACTAAATCTATAAACTAAAATTAAGTAATTGTTGAGTTAATATGAATTTTTAATTTATAAAATAATAATACTATAAAATATTTTTAATACATTTATGATTCTGCTTGTTTATGGGCTGCACTTGAAGTGAAATGCAACAATGAATTTAAAAAACGAATAAAATGGTTTATTTACGATGACACAAATATTAATATTGATTAAAAATAACATTACGAATCGTATTAATAATAAATTCAATTGGTGAAAGAAAATAACAATGATACGTAGGAAAAAAGTAATTAAATTTTGATTATAAAATATTGTATAATAAAATATTATATAATAAATATGTAAAAATGTATTATCATAACTCGTAATATAATTATACCAATTATCTAAATGTACATTCTTATTCAGATATCAATAATCTACAAATTAAATATACGGACTAATGTTACATGTGAAAACTACATTTCGTAAAGAGACTTAGAATTATAATTTGATATGATTCTTAAGTATTAGTCAATTTGTAAGTAATATATAGACATAATGGAAATTTAGAAAATAGATGAATAATAATATCGATAATAAATGTAATACTAATAAATGATAATAAATGTAATACAAACTAATACTAATAATTAATATTTATTATAGATAACTATTAATAAATATTAATGCAAGAGAATTCCGATCAAATTGACGATCAAAACAACAACAAAAATCTTAAAAATAAATAATAACACATGATGTATAGAGCACATATTGGTGTTAATAATTTTAATAATTATTTTAATAGAAATAAATATTGTTATTAATTATAAAATTATCCATTTTAGACGCAAATAATAAGAAGTTTATAATGTAAAAATAACAACATTATAAATCTTAAGTATTAACTACAAAAATGTGTAACATATAGACCGAATAATATTGTACATACAACAATTATCTTAAATTTACGAGAATACGTATAAAACTTGGATATTAACAAACACGTTTTCAAAGATTTTAAAAATTTAAGAAGAAGTACAATAACAATGTTCGTAGATGTATCAAAAGAATTATAAATAATAGAAGAAATAAAAGTATTAATTGAATGGATAGATATATAAAAAATATATAACAAGTTATTAATTTATCAGCTAATGAAATTATTATACATATGATTAGATAATAATAACTAATAATAAATTGAGCTTTTAATAAATTTATTATTCGAATATACAATCATGTATTCAACATACAATTAATTATCTATTTGCACAGAAAATATTGAAATAATCTTTCACTATCTTTAAATACATTTTCTATATTCATGTACTGTTATTCAATTATTATTAAGTAATAATAAGAATGATAATAATATTTATTTCGACAGTTATGTTAATAATGAGCAGGACTTTTAATATGTACATTTATAACATTAGAATATATTCATTATTACTTATACAATTATATATTTAAATTCGTTTAATTATATGGTTAAATAATTCGTTTTACTTTAAATAAATAGAAAATTAATTTTGTTACTGTACTATTATTAAGTTTATACTATTCTTTCTATAATTTGTGGTAAAACTGTTATCTTATTGTATATTAAAAATAAATTATGTAATAAGAATAATAAAATGTTATTATAACTGATAAATATGCATACACAAGCATATAATAGAATCCTAAGTTTATAACTCGGAAACGGAATGTTTTCGAGAGTAAATATACATTGATAAAGACACGGATGTCTAGAATTTAGACGGGTCACATATGATGAAGATGAATACATTATTATACATAAATTATAAATAAGCACCTACAAATGCTGGCTAGTGAAAATTATAATAGTGGAAAAGAGAGATACAGTGAATCTTAGAAAATCTAGAGTCAGTAAATAATATTTATTTAAAGTCCCAGCAAGTAAAACTAATTTCACTTGTAGATGACGATAAGGAAAATTAATAATGAATTTATACTGTTATGAGCAAGTATGCGTAGGTCAATTCAATTTTTTTCAATGTTATAGCTAATAAGAAAAGCATCAGTTATACTATAATATTATTAATAAGATAATAATTTTGTAAGTTGTAAAATAAAAAATCATTAAGTTTCAATTAAATCTTACTCTCATTTTTTGTTGTAATTGCAATAATTTTTTCATAAATAAAATTTTCGGAGTAACTATAACTTTTATTCTTAAAATATATCTTTTACAGAAACTCTGTGTATGGTTCTAAGAAAAATTTCGTCTCTGTAACGTTTCATAAAATAATTCAACTAGCTCGATACATTTTCGTTACTTTTACTAAACATGAAAATTGAAAGTTTACATGGTAAATTAAAAGTATTTTTTAATGTATTGGTTCATTCGATTTTATATAAATAAAAGTTAATATCTTGAAGAAGTAGGAAATTATTGGAAATATATAATGAAAATGTTAAGTTAATAATGTACATTATTTTAATGTTTTTAAGGCATTAAAGTGATTCTTTTTTAATGTAATGTTTTAGTCAATTTATTTCTATATTATTAATAAGAATGTTGTAATCATTATTAAATCTTATTACTATATTGAATTTAATTTTCGTATTTTAATATTAATTTTTGAATTTCTTCTTGTATAATTTCACCTTGAGTTATTTATTTATATTGTAGATAAAATATAATTTATAATTAATCGACAGAATTATAAACTTGATTTTATAATTTACTATTTATAGATATATAGTTCTATTTGAAAATTCATAATAATTTTACTAATAATATGAAGTTGAAAATTTTCTTTCTTAAATGCATGTATTTTAAATAAATTTATTTCCAATCAACAAAATAATTTCGACTCAAAATATCATAAGATTCTATTGCTCATTTTAGCTTATGCATTAAAATAAATAAATACAGTTTTATGCAATATATATTAAAAGAATTTATTTAAATTTCGTACTTGTAGTTACGTTATTAAAACGAAAAATTACAACTAAATCTATTTAATATATGTATAAATTAATCTTATATACTTGCACATATATAACAAAAATTATAATAACAAAATTCCTCTCGAATAAAAGTGTCAGATTAAATAAACTTTTTAAGAATGCGCAGAGCTATTTCGCATAAACTATAAATTGTAAGCAAAGGTAATTTGAATTCCATTATATATTAGAAAATATGTAAGAATAATGTTACTGGTAAATAAAATATACCATCAACGTTTAGATAAATGAAAAATGAAAGTAGTACATTATTCAACAAAAAAGAAACTGCAAAATGCAGAAGCGAGGTGCATTATAATTTTACCGAATCTCTTAAGCAATAAAGTGACGATAGAAATAGACTCTGTAAAAGTGGCGCAGAAGTAGAAAGAAAATAGACAGGAGAAGAGTGTAGGTTCGATTGCGGACGTTATAGAGAAGAAGATGAAAAGGCCATCAAAAGATATAAAAGAGAGAAAAAAAAACTGTACTCACCGGCAAGAAGTTGAAGCGAGCCAAGAATCCTCGTGTGCTTGGGCGTTTTGAGTACGTGAGGCAGGAAAGACGTAGCGGCGGCGAGAAGCGTGAGTGTTCCAATCACGGTGATGGTGAGACCGAAGCTGATAGTTACTGTGCTCGCCTGCCACCAGGGACTTGGGATGTCCCAAAAGCTGCAATTCCGATTGTCGGCATTTTACAAACGTATCTCTCTTTCTACCTAACCCGCTCCTTATCAACCCCTCCCGTCGTTTTGTCACCTTCCACTCCCCAGCCAACTCTTTTGACACGCGTACGAGTGGCTCGAATTTTTCTGTGCAGTCGTCCGGTATCCCTCTAGCCATCTTCCCTGTCTTTCAACGAGGCAAAGAAAATCGAAAGCACATGCTTATACGCGTGCAAAGATTCTGATATCTTTGACAGCTGACACAAGTGCGCAGACGACACGACGATTCCAATTACTTTGAGAGGCAGGTACGAGGACACGAGGAAGACGCGCTCTTTTATTATACGCGTTCGCTATTGCGAATGTCGTATGCGAGGCTCGTTTTGACGATCAGCGATGAGAATTCAATTGTTACCTCATAGATGAGGCACTATCGACCTTCAAATTGTAATATATATGTATATTGGTATTTTTTTTCATCTTTCTCGATACATCACACTTTCTAATTATAATGGCGCAATATATATATATATATATATATATTCGTGTAAATATTTGCCACTTTGATTAACTTTAACTCTTGTCTTATAATACATATTGTACATGGATTTTTATATTAATTATCAATTTAATTGTTACATTTTAAATTTCTAATTAAAATTAACAAAAAAAAAAAAAAAAAAAAAAAAAAAAAAAAAAATTAAAATTTAACATCATTTTACCTGCTGTTATGAATATTGTTGAAGATTATGACTAGTATTGAATGATATTTTGCGGTTTATTTCTATTAATACATTTTTCTTGAAATTATTTTGAAATTATTATATACCATGCAATACGATTTCATTTATAGATGTACTAATTATATAAAAATTTGAAAATATTTGAAATAATATTTGAACCATTAGTTTAAAAGTTACAAACGTAAGAACACTGCTAAGTGAATCATTTATAAATAAAATTTTATTCTAAAATTTATTTTAACAAATATTTATATAAAACATAATAAATATAATATTATATTACTTTTGTACAAAGTTTCGGGTTTTCTAGAGTTCTACTAATATTGGATTTTCCCATTTTCAGAAAAATAAGGAAAACTTATAAAGAAAAATTAATTTTACTTAATGTTATTAATATATATATATATATATATATTGGATAATTATTTTAGTATCCTAGATTATAGAAAATTCTTTTTTTTTTACAATTTCAATTTGAATGTGACGAGGGAATAAAAAATTTAATAACTTATTGAGCTCAAGAACCGTGATAAAAGTAATTTAAATCAAAACCACATTACAATCTAGTAACACAGTGAATTTTCACATATTTCAATGTACAGTTATGAGCTCACATTTAAATATTGAATTTAAATAATAAAAATTGATTTTAAATATGAATTCGTAACTACTAAATATCATTAAAATATTTATAAACTAATACTTTTATAACGTGAATTGTGGTATTGTAAAGGATAAAAAAATAAGTATACAAAATTTCTTAAAAAATACGTGTCTAATGGAATATAGAAATGACACCAAAAAAACATATAAGAATAATAGACTTTCGCGTTCGCACCTTTACTAGTCCGACTGTTATTCATCATGTTATCGTATTTTTCGTCGGCAATTCTGTCTACTTTTGAAGTTGCAATGGACGGTGCACAGTTGAGTTTTTCAGCTCGAAACTCAACGCTTGTCCGCGATATTTTTATATTCACAAAGGTTTCATGACAGTGCAATTTTTACAAAGAACATTATTCTATGTATAGGCTTTCAAAAGTCGATAGCCATATTCGTTTCCAAATGGGTTTAATAAGAAAAATGTTTATATATAGTTTGTAAATTGAAAAAAGTTAATATTGTGGGAAAAGCTTTTTGTTTGCAGTCAATATCAATTATTTGCACATTCTACATACATTTTTGTTTTAGACGATAACAAGACGCGATGATATAATTTGATAGAAATTGTCAAATTTTCATATAAATACTATTTATTGAAAGACTATGTTTTTTATCTGTGTGGAAATTTAAAAACCGTATTTTTTTTTAACTAATAAATAAAATTTGAAAACGTTGTACTCTTGTACATTTGAAACAAAATTTAAAAGAAATGTTAACTGTTTAGCCAATTCTACAAAGTATCAATTTATTTTAACGGCCCAATCTAATAATTCAAAAAAAGACTAATAGATCTGAAATATAGTAGGTAATTATCATGAAAAATGTATAACTTTTAAGAAAACTTTAATGAAATAAGATTGCTGCATAAATCTTGGATTAGGCAGTTACGCGAAGTATGTGTTTATTAATGTAATTAAGTATAGAAATATCTACTAAGAGCCTATTACTATGTAAATAGTAATGAATAATAAATATAAAAAATTCAATAAGTAATTTATAGAAAAATTAATAAATGCTTAGAGTGATGCTGTCATAAATGCTTTTAAATATATTAACAAGAAATATAAATGCTGATAATATTTATCAATATATTTAATATTTATCAATAATGTAAAATATATTCTATATTATATCATTGAAGTATAGTACTTCAATTATTTAAAATAAATTAATTAAGGCAGATTGTTCAAAACGCTATTATCGTTTTTTAATTCTGAGCCATGTATTAATAAATAATTGACGTACTAGATCAGAGAAATTACCGTTAAAATAAGTTTTCATACAATTATGATTTTTCAATTTATGTCTATAATTATGGAAATAAAATTTATATAATTTATTAAAATGAAACATTATTTGTCTTTAATCTTACAAGTAAAATTCATTAAAATTTTGTAAGGTTGAGATTAAATTTTAAACTTGGTTTTCTATAATTTCTATTTGACGAAACGAATTATATCTTTCATATATGTAACTTTTACCAAACATTTATTAAATTTAATGGTGTCTATAATACAAAGTAATTTGAATGTAACGAATGTTTTATAATGTACTTTTGTTTCCATGGATTATTAATTGATTTAACCACAAATATTTATACTAGCATTATGTTATCAAGTATTTGATTAAGACTTTAAATTAAAAATTATTTAAACTTATTTAATTCAGATGGTTACTGTTTTTAAAATGGATAGTGCCTTTATACATAATGTACGTGTCCGGTTGATATTCAATTCTTGACAAAATTTTAAAATGATGGGTGTTAATTTTACATATAATATTATAAATTCAGAATGTTTGTACACATATAGCATCTAGTTAACTCGATACAAGCTCCTGCAAATACTTCCTAGTGTAAATGCAAAGGTTAACAAGAATAAAAAATGACTTCTTTAATAATGTGAGAAAACTGTGTGTTACATTAATTTTTGTAAAACAGTTAAATTTCTATTGAATTTGCGACAGATAAAATTGTTCCATTAATCATATTGATTTATATCATGTTTTTTTTTTACCTATATAATGTCGAAATATATTCTGCAAGTGACGCACACATATTCTCTCTTTACTTCATGCAATAGCTATCCTGAAATAGCAGAAAGCTCGATCGTGCTTAACTACTCAAGACAACGCGATCCCTTCTGTCGAACGGCTTAACATGGTCCTACCAGAAAATAGCCACTCAATCATCAGCACTTGGTCCACTCAAATTTCAATGGGTTCAGCCATCTCTTGTATATCCACTTATCTATGACGCTGGATGACACTCCATTTCAATTAAATCGAAGCTGGGGCTTCATTGGTCAAGCTTGTACCGAACCTTCCGCTAACTCAGATATGCTGCTTTACGCCAGATACAATCGGTAATGCGCACCTTCATCTAAGCAATACCCTTGCCACCGCTAATCATCGCTCATCTACTCCGACTTTGGTTAAATTCAAGCAGTGCTCAAATTCCATCATGATGACTCATGCAGGACACGCTCCAAAGATATAAAGGGGAAGTTAAGAGAAGAAGTATTTTGCCTGATTGATCGTAAACTTGTGCAATTTCATTCGGTCGAAAACTGCTTTTCATTTCCCCTTTAATTCTCCACGTGTTAATTTAATATTAACGTACTAGCCTATCCTTGAGCTCTACGCCCCATCCCCTTCTCCGTCAGCCGTACTGATGGGCACATGCAGACTCGAAAATGAAAAAAATTTCATATATATAATGATATAATAATGATATTATGCATTTGAGAGACACAAGGAAATTTTAACTTGAAAATTTTATCAAGTGTTTTGACTAATTAATATTTTTAATTTTAAATAAGAAATAAATGTCATCATGTCTTCATGGATATAATATAATATAATATAATATAATATAACAAATAAATAAATAAATATATATATATATATATATATATATATATAATGTTACGATGTTTTTAATAATTAATTCATAATATAAATCGATTTATTTGGATTAAATTGCTTAATGTAGACACTAATGACGAATTTCGGAAATCTGAAAGTACTTGTCGAGCTCGTAGTGCCTAGACCGAACGGACCCCCGCGGTTAACAATCCTTAACGGTCCTTAAACGTTCAGCAGTGTACACACGTATGACAGGGACAGGACAAATAATATCTTACACACGCAAGCAACTTGATTTTAAAGGAGACTGCGGTTAAATATGAAAGTCTCGTCTCTGCCTCACACGCATCAATTCAACGTATTCAATTCTGTAGCATTATTGCAGGAAAAGTAAATTGTAGTATACGACTTGTTCTATCGAGATATAGTTTTACTTGGTGCCACTTCTCTCGATTAAAATATTTTACATTTTTTTATAAACGATATAATATACGAAATTATTCGTAACGATATATTTATCGTTTTAAAAATAATTATTATACGCAACGAAAATATTCGACAAGTCCAATGCATGGCATATTACAATTAATTTGGAAATCTGGTTAAATTCCTAACGTAAATAAGTATATTTTTTTTAAAGTTAAAATTTTCAGTGATATCACTTGATTTTTAAAGTGATTTTTATTAAATATTTTGATTATACTTTATTAAATATAAGAAATATATAAATAAAGTAACGAAATGAAATAGTAAAAAATTATGTTCATTATAGCGTAAAACGTACTTTTAATTATAAAAGTAATTCAATAAAAATATTTTTATTTAATCAATTTCCTACGAACCTTTCACTACTGGAAATGTAAATTCTCATATTAAACAAAATCATAGGCCCACTGATTAATGATTTAAATATTATGTGCAATTCATATATACTCGTTTAATTTAATATAATGTATTACTTAATTATATATTGATATGGGGAAATACTGTAATAATTCTTTTAGAAAAATGTAATGTAAAAACATCAAGAAATTTTAAATATAGAGGATCGATAATTACGTGTTTAAAGATTAAAAGACAAAAAAGGATAATAGGGAAAGCGAAAAAAAGGCTGAAAGACAAAGCGAAAGAGAGAGAGCGAGAGAGAGAGCGAGAGAGAGAGAGGGAGAGAGAGAGAGAGAGAGAGAGTGAGAGTGAGAGTGAGACACAGAATGAAAAACGGTTAGTAACTGATAAATTAAAATTAATTATTATCATTCTATTGAAAATTCTATTGAGCATTAATTTCTGTATTGACATATATTTTTTAAGAAATACATATTTAAGCGATACCAAAATGATAACAGAAAAAAAAAGTCTTAAATTCAATTTTGTATTTAATAATAGTAATAATAATAATGTGTGCCAGTAATAAGGGAAAAAAGAAAGATATGCATTAGATAAATATATGCAGAGTGTTTCAATGTGAGTTTTTTTTTTTCTTAGCTGTCTATATACTTACAGCTACAGCCACGTGTGATACCAAAGGAAGAAAATAATGCGTATTTCTATCGATACACTCTGCTTTTATCAAAAGAAAAATCAAAAGAAAAAAAATTGGGATGCATGGCGTTCATAAAATTTTCGCTGTAAAGAATACGATTGCAGAGGACTTCGATCGACTGTCGCAGCACAGAAAAAAAAGTCCGTTTTTTCGACAAAAACAAAACGTGGTAACTATATGGCCTGGGCATCAATGTACCCGTCTAAATGCGATTGCTGAACTACTTCCGAACAGCCCGATCGTAGCTAATAAGAGTAGTGAATGCTCAAGGCGGTGATATGGATTCACTGCTTTGTGTCGTTTCAACAATTAAATTATGAAGCAGTGGATTTTGTGGAAAATTTTTATTTCGATTCAATTTCAACTAAGAAGTATTTTTAATGATGAGCATATTCGTATGAAATATTTATGCCCATGAAGGTTATTTAAAAAATAAAATAATTATATTTATATGATATTAAGTCATACATTCTTTTTATTGTATTTAATTGTTCAGTTGTTTTGCCTAGTGATTGTGAAAAAAAAATAAAATATAAAATTTAAGTAATTTTATTGATATATAAGAACTGAATTTTTGGTTAAAAGTGACATTTTTATTATACAACTTTATTACAATATTCACTAATTACAAATTTTTTTACGGTAGAAATGAATTTTTTTATATTTTTCTTTGAAAAGCACTTTGAGGTTTTTGTAGAAAATATAAAAAATATATGCATATAGCTATGATTTGAACGTTACTGTAATAAAAAAAAAGATTTTTTTTTTCGAGTAAAGAATTGATTTTACGACCATATACTCTATTAAAAAAATTATATATAAACAAAGCGTCATAAAATAAGTAATTTTAATAGATATTTATATAGTATTTTAAAAGTGAACTATTTCTAATAATTTGAAGAATTAAGAGATTACATTTCATTAAACATTAAATGATGTATTTTATCAAAAAAAATTTCAATTTTCTTTCATTTAAGGAAAATAAATTGAATTAAATATTATTTATTAAATGATTAGATTACTTTATATTATTTTAACACATGTAATGAAATTATTGGAAATAAATCACATATTAGTTTTTCTTATGAATAAACGAATGCGATGATACTGTTCATCAATAAAATTTAACTGTGTACTTGTTTAAAAATCTTATGTATTTGTATCTGTTTCATTATCATAACATAATTTAATGCATTACATAAGTATTTATTTATTCAAAATATTATATTAAATGGAGTTAATACATTAATTGTAGTAAGGATGAGAATATAGTAAAGATGAAATAATATTGAAAAAATTATGGTTAAATTCAGATGAGCGGTATTGTTTCCTGACAGATGCAAGCAATTTATCAGCAGCGAAGCTTTTCAGCCAACCATTTCGGAAACCAAAGTCGCATAGCTTTTTCCCCCTCGTGACGATTCGTCTGTTTTTATTTTTGTCTGAAATAGCGGTTGCTGCTCGTCAGTCATTTTCCGAGTGGAGAGTCTATCAGAAGCACTGATCCTTTTACCTCAATTCCACAGCGATTGAAGGATAGACTGAACAAATTCGACCGATTAAATGACTTGAGAATATATATCTATTGAGAAGCTCTGTACGCTGATATTTGGTGGTTTTTTTTACGAGTTAATTATAATATTTAATTGGAAATTTCTAATAAGCCCAAGTGTTTCATGTCTTATTCTTATTATACTATAAGTATTATTAAACTACAAATTACAATGAAAATTATTTGTAATATATGGACGATGATTTTAAAAGTGTATTGTAAATTAATTCATGAAAAAATAAAATTTAATTATAATACTCTACTATTACTTATTTTAGAAAAAGAATAGTAAGATTTGAGTGATGCGTCATAATAATAAGAAACTATCTAGATATTGCAAAAAAAGAAGATCATATATTATAAATCGATTCTACAGACGTTTAAAATCATTGACTGACGAATTTTCATGATCACTGAGACATTCTGTTCAGTGTAATCATGATATGTATATTAATCAAAAAGAATTATTATGTGTATAAAGAAAAGAATCAAGAGAAAATGCGTAGAACGTGATGGGGAAAGATGTGTGAGTACGTTTGTTTGTGCGTGCGCTTGTGCGTGTGCTTGCGCGTGTGCTTGCGCGTGTGTTTGTGTGTGTGTGGTGGGGCGGGGGGGGGGAAGTAGAAGATTGGATTTGTGTGAGAAAAGGAGCATAAATAGCGCCACGAACGACAACAATAAACGATTTATCGTTGGAGAATCTCGCTTGGAATGCACGACGACCGAAAAATGAGACACTAAATCTATAGGGATAGAAAGAAATTCTGTAACCGGATACAAGCGCACACCCCGTGTTCAAGAGACGAAGTGGTTATTGAAAGCCCTCTTTGTTGCATCGAGATAGATATTATTTAACTAACTTTTTCAAGCTATCGTTAGCAAAGTTATCATTCATTAACTTATACTGTCAAAAGTATATAATATACAAATCGTTGTTAATAAATATGTGTATTCGCATGATGCCAGTATTTTTCATATTTTTTTTTGTATTCATTTGAGTAATACCGGAAACGTTATTACATTTAGAACACAAATGTATTTATTATTATTATTATTATTATTATTTTTTATTATTATTATTGATGATTATTATTATTATTGATTATTATTATTATTGATTATTATTATTATTGATTATTATTATTATTATTATTAAAGCATTGTTTAGTCAATTTTATACTATTAAAATTACAATATAATGTTTACGAATAAGTTTATTTATTCGTCACTACCAAATATGTACATGATTGCTTATTAAAGGATGCACATTATATTTTGCAAACCTCGTTAGCAGTCACATTTTTCAGATTGGCTTTCTAATAGCTTTCTAATATTTCTAAAAATTTGATATTTATACTATTTTTTCTTCTTCTAATTTTACCCTGTCAAACAATTATTTCGTTTGAATTATACAATTACAAGTTGTATTTTAGATCATTATATATGTGTATGTATGCGTAAATGGGCATAAATTCAGTCATACATATTCCTTATTAAACATTTAACTGATTAGATTATTTTGAGTTGAATAGAAGTTAAAAAATAATCAGAATGCAATGAGGTAGCGTACGAACTAGATATTTTGTTGATTTTGTGATTAATTATTATTATTATTAATTTTGATCGATACATATCCGCGTATGATCGAAAATTTTAATATTTTTGCTTTGTATGAAAGTAATATATTATCTATGTATTGCTGGTATATAATAGTGAATTTTCTGTGTATGAATATATCTTGATTAAAATTTAAAATTTCGAAAGGCAAGTTTTATTTTAATATAGACAGTTGCTTAAAAAATTATTTCAAAGTAGTATTGTAAATAAATATACTTTTACATTTTTGTTTATTCATAATTACAGACTATTAAATAACAGGTTAAAGTTCGAAAATCTAAAAAGATTATCTCTTTTTCTCAGTCAAGTATAGTTGAATGTAATTGAATACGTATGTACAAAATAAAAAATGTGAATGAACAAGCGCAGTTTCCTTAGGTTGTGTGTTGCTGCATGTATATACAGATGGTTATAGATACGTATTTGGCAAATTGTATAATGATAAATAAATAGTCATAATTATATATTTTTCATTTTTATTGAGAAGGAGGAAGATCGGTAAGCAATCAACGTAGTCAATAAAGCAATTTTATTAAAATAAAATGAAACTTACCTAGAGTACCTAGCGCATTGGTAAACTATCTCCGGCGCATTATGGGGTGTCCTGATTCTTGGATAATTACAGCGTCGAAAGGAACTAAAGTATGCATCTGCTTTGCCGAGAAGTCTTCCCTACAATACAGAAATATAAAGAGATGTTTAATATTTTATACATTTACGTACGTCTACGCGAATAGTTTCAAACATTCATACACACTTGGTCGTAATTGAGCTATGCTAAAACGCAGTGATAGGAGAGGATACGTAAATTCTAATGCGATTGTGGTAGTACCGCAGTGCGGTTACTATAAGCAGGTTACGTATTCTATACCAATTCGTTAATATAATAAGCAATATTTCAGTTCTCTATATGATAATCAAATATAATATTGTTGCAAATGTTATTTCTATTTTCATATATGTTAAGTTGACATAATGAAGAATTTATATCTGATAGGTGAAAATAAATATTTCATCATGTTATAATTCATCGTCTTATAATTTAAAAATAATTCAATTTAATATATTATGAAAAAATACTCGTTATATTGAAATTATATAAAAATTAATGCTCTATATTGTGAAATAAATTTGTAAAAGAAAAGACTTTATTGATAATTGTTAGCACTATTTATAATTTTTACTAATTTTTTATTATTTACTAAATTATTTAATCATTTTTAATAATAAGGTTAATATAGATTTTTAATCAAATTTAAATACGTAAACGATAACCTATTGATAAATTTTCATAATTTATAATATTTATTGCTAAATATTTATAGATAACATATACAATAGAATTAATGATATTTCCATTTAGATTTCAAATTTCTCAAAATTAATTGTACTTTTTATGTTACAGATCTTTTTACTTTTTAAGTTGGAATAACTTATTCTGTGAATATATTCAAAATAGTGTTAAAAAAAAACAAACAAAATTTTCAAAACGATTAACCTGTATTATAAATGAATAAAGTACTTCCAGACTGAAGCTCATACCTCAACATAAGAGCAACTTGTCTGTTAAATGCGCGAATTATAAAACTGCGATCAGGCTCAAGACGCATTTTTTTCTCGCATTAATTAATTAAAATGATATTAAAAAATCAAATACTCACGCAGCCACCGTCTTCTAAATCAGTTAATTACAATGCTGCCGTTGCTATATTAGACAAGATTCACTACTTTGGCATAATTTATATATCAATATTTATGAACTTAGTCATGATGATACTCCATGTACCAAATATAAGTAGACTTTTGTTTTCTGCTGTAGTGCATCCAAATTTTCAATAATTTCGTTATAGTACAGACTAGAATGGATAGACTGCCGATTTAAGTAATAATAAACTATCAGAAATTTTATTATCGATTTATTCTTCATGTAATGGAGTACTCATACCTCCCAACCTCTTAAACAATACTTTTTAGTTTCATTAAAGTATATATGATAGTTATTCTTTAAATTCAATTATCATAGTCTCCTTATTTATTATCCAAAGCCTGAAATTTCAATGTCTTTATTTTTATCCTATTTGTAAATAATTTTTTTTCTTTTCGAGAATTGTCTAAAGTAATTCACATATAATTATATTGCATTGTTTTCTTATTTAACATTTGCATTGATTTATATCAAATTTCCTCTGTATATATATATATATATATATATATATATATATATATATATATTTTATGAATTGACAATTATTTTATATTATAATTTCGTTAACTTATACTGCGCGGTTAAATAAAATTGTTCCTTATACCATATATTCACTACCAATACATCTGCTTGTTAAATTTAAATTTTAAATTACTACAGCACTACTCAAACCAAAACCTACTACTAAATTTATTATTACAACTCATCACTAAACTAATTATGAAAACTAAAATACACAACTACACGCATAAAGTCACTACTAAACTGTCTACTGAAAGTCAAATTCATTATTAGATGTAAGATTCATTATTAAAAGTAAAACAAACTCCTACAAACATCAATTTATTAATTTGCTTTCAATCTAAATTTATTATTATTTTATTCGTACGCATTTCGTAGTCCTAAATTTTAAATATATTATTTTTGTGTATCTTTCCTATTAATACAATAAAACTTTATTAGAGTATATGGATATCGTTTATTTCTATACTATTGAATTACTTGTCATCTTTTATTGTACATTTACTGCATAGTTAGAGAAAAACTTATTTTAATATTATTCTTTAATATAGAAAATGTATATCCACGTATAGAATCTTAATAAGTGGTTTTAACACAAGAGCGTAATTTATTATTTATCTTCATTTAATATCTTATTTATAAATAGCTAAAAACTTATTTCGTTCAAATTTCTAATAAATCCTCTAAGTAATACGATATTCTATTATATCTAACTAGGGCTTTCGTTTTTGTAGCTGAGTAAATCTGACTGTGTATCTTTTATTCATTTTATGAATTCATTTGTGTTGTATTGTTAATTGCTAATTGTTAACATGTGTCAAACTTTATTCGGTATAATACCAGCGAATTAAATTAATGAAATTCTTACAAATACATAAATATAATAACACTTTAACTCCACATAATTAAGAAAAAATTAAGTGAAACGTTAAATGTCACCGCTTAAAATTAAGTTTAAACATTATCTTATCATTTATAATTAAACGCTGTATTCGATTGTGTTAAATGAAAGTGAAAGAAGATATATTAAACAAACATTTAAAATATTGATATTTTGAGTTCACCATTAATTTTATTATTATTATTTTCTGGATCGTTTATGACTGATTTAGCATTTTTTCACAGAAGGTAATTTAAAATTGTAAATCACTATAAGATTTCGTATTTTAAATTTTAATTTATTTCTTATTGAATCTATCGGAATATTTAATAAATTATTTTTTAATTATTATGTTTTCAAGAATGAAAAGAATTATTTTACATAATTAATTTTGAGGTGAAATTAATCGTTGAATCAAATATTTGCATCCCATTGACCTACTGATTAAAGATATTGTTTCGCTTCATACTTTATATGACTTAATTAATAATTCTCTTTTAGTTAAAAATCTATTTTCTTTACTTTTTTTTACTTAGTTGTGTTCTTTTTTATTGAAAACTTGTGCATCTAAATAACAAATTGATGCAACGTATAATAAGGTAGAATGAATATATAAAAAAGGAAGGAAGTGTGGTTAGTAGGTAGTGAAGAAGAAAGAATGAGAACGAAAGAAAGCCGATAGAATGAAAATGGGAAAATGAAATATATAGAATAAAAAATTGAATGCTAACAGAGTCAAACCTTTTATGTTTATGACTATGTTGACATGCTTTGTCTTTGTCTATTTCTCATAAAGTGATTTAGTTTATTTGCTTTCATATCAATAATTGTCGGCAATTGCATATATCAGATTTTCAATTAATACTAAAAGTCCTGAGAGCAAGAGAAAGCAAGAAAAGTTAGAAAAATGAAGAAAAAGCAGGCGTATATAAAGATCGAGAAGAAAGGATGAGTCGATTTCTTATAGTGCAGCAAGGTAAGAAGAATGTAAATTTCATGCTTATACATTCATTTCTTTCTATTTCTTAGTGAAGAAATTGTAAAGAGAAATGTAGATTCGTATATAAATGTAAAATTTTAAATTTGTTTTCTTTTATGATTCTCTTTTGATTTTTCTGCTAGATTTTTTTTCAGATGTTTTCTGAATCGATTCTCTGCTCAGTACATAAGAAACTTATTAAAAAACTACGTTTATTTTAACATTAAATTACAAATTCATTTTTAATATCAACGTTAACACTAAAATTTATATTTATAGTTAAGTATTTCATTTATTTCATCCGTTACACGATAAGTATAAATGAAAGATCTTATCATTTCCAAGAAGTTAGAATGAAATCTTTTCAATTGTTAAAACTAAGTATTAACGAAGTAAAATAGATTAAAAATTGTAATTTATTTAAAATAACTATTATTAATTTGAAAATAAAAATTAAGCTCTATAATATAGGACTACAATATAATGTAATACTTTTTAAAAATTGATTTTTAATCATAATACAATTATAGAGAAGAAAATCCTTATATTTGAAAAATATTCAATTTTCGTTTATACATTTAATCAAATTTTTGTTTTGATAAATCTATATGGTAATTATATTTTTAATTATATATGTGCGCAATTTTTATGATAAATAATCATAACAAAGGATTTTGTATTATTAAAAGTATTATTTTTGTCCAGTACCATAATTTTTACATACATTTGTATGATAATAAATATAAACATTTTTAGTTTGTTATTGTATTGTATAAAAAGGCACGATAAACTTGTTCAATGTGTACTTTTTAAAAAAATTTTATCTGTCACATCTAACGCTTATAATACAGATAGAATTGTTATAAAATTTTTTGCATACTGAAAAAAAGTATAAAGGTTAAAAATTTATATAAATTAATTTTTATTATTATTTCAATCATAATTTATTATAATGGTTATTATTTATCTTAAAATATATTTTAACGAATAATTTCAAATAAATTGTAAATAAAACTACTTGATAACATAATAAAAAATATAAAAATTAAAAAAAATAAAAATATAAATGATAAAATTAATGAATATTCTTATAAATGTACAAACACTATTTGTGTCAATATTGATGTATATATATATATATATATATATATATATATATATATATATATATATATATATATATACATACTTTAAGAATTACTATAAATTAATACCTATCCATTTTCAGTAAAAAAAAATATATAAATTATTTCCTTACACAACATTTTGTTAATAATTTCTATATTATAAAACACATTGAAATATATTATAATAATAATAATCTATTCTGCCTAAATTAATATATTTTAATATGTTCAATGTAATGATTGTAATATTTTCATTACACTATAACATGTTTTACCTTTTTCATGGAATGCTTAGTGAATAATATAATTGTAGTTTGAGGAATTAAGATATATCTGTATTTAAACACGTATGATGAAAATTCTAAAGTTATTTTGAAATTGTAGAAACTAATTCTTTAATTAATGAAAAATTACTGGGATAATTTCATATTATTGCCTTACATGAAATTTAATTTACTT